TTAATTAAACCAGGATGTAATAACTACCCTAGCAATTACACTTTTTTGCAGTTACTATGTTTCAGTTGATTTTAATAGTGTAATTGTTGTTGTGTATGGTAATTAATAAAGAGTGCTAAATAAACAAAGACCCAATAGTCAACTTTTGTCAGATTGACAATTGGTCAACAACAATATCCATGCTGTTTTGGCTCTCCCGCATCCCATTACATTTGTGTTCAATACTTTCCAATACACCACCACCATCATTTGTTAATGGGTGATCCATTATTAATAACTGAATCCCAAATATATAAATGATAATAGCTTAGGTTTTGGAATTTAATGACTACTTAATGGAGGGGATCTCAATTTTTATCCCCATGATCTTAGTTTTTATTTTGTTTACTCAATCTGTTTTGGTTATATTGTCTCTTCTTCTGACCAGATTAAGTTCATGTTGCTTTGTGCTTGAACTGTTTCTGTGCATTTTATCATTTGAAAATGTTAGCATCTGTGTTGTCCCTTGTTAACTTGTTGACTCATGTTCTTGCACTTGATATGGAAATTCATTTCCTGGCTTTCTTTTTTCTCTCTCTTTCTCTTTCCCTTTTCTTTTATTGTTTTTTTTATTCTACTTTTAACAGATCCGGAGATGCTAGGCTATATAGAAAAGACTCTTTATAGTGGTCATGCTTCATATAAAGTTCATATTCGGTACGATTTCTACACTTGGGTGGTTGTTTATGTTTCCCATTGTTAATGGCTCCATTAGTTATCTAGTGCTTATCAGCATAATATGTACAGGCTATTATTTAATTTGACAATGTCAAGAGTAGTTTCTGACCCTTGTATATTACAGACAAGATATCTTGATATCTGGGAGCCGGCTACATTGGCTATTAAAAGGGACGGTTACTCTATTAAGTGTAGTGGACCCCATGGTCTTGTAGTCACTGAAAAGTTTTGTCCAACCACTGAGGTAATACACATAATTTATCTGTTCTTTTGAGATCCTGTAGGAGTGATGCAGGAGTAGGAGGTTAAGGTTTATAGCAATTCTCAGGTTTGAATTGATGGAAATCATGAGAAGAATAGGGAAATTAATGATGAAAGGAAAGAAAAAAATCCCTGAAGCTAAGCAGAATAATGTTGAGTTATTTCTGGAAATCAATATCACAACAGATCTCATTATTTCATTATAACAATAGGGATCCAGGATCTCGCTAAGCTAAAAATAGACTTAGAGGTGAATTTTCAGATCCTAGTGATAATTGATATTTACTTTACAATGTACCACATATTCTGCATTTCTTGTTCATTCAAAACAGTGAACCTTCTGTGCTGTTATAAAATTGCCTCAATTTTTTATGCCCATTTAGAGCTTTTTGATGGAAATACTGGAATTGAGTTCACTGATCTTGTCTGATTTTGATATATCGTATTTTTTTCCTGAACCATTAGTGACGACAAGTAATCCCGAATTTACATTCTCATATATTTATATTGGTATCTTTTTTTATCTGTGTTTTTTTATTGTTTTCTCTAGATTAAGATAACATTTGGAGAGTCTACAGAGTTTATGATTGTGGGATCAAATGGTGTTCAACGTCTCTTACGAACTGATAGCAGCTCTACAGATATCAGCTGGTAAGTTTGAAGTTTCTTTTGTAAAAAATAAATAATTGCTGATTTAGAAAATAGCAGGTTCCACATCCCTCATAGTTTACAAAATTAATATCATTCCAAGAACAAACAAGGTACTTCCATTTCATCTGAATGGAGATTTCCATAATGTCCTTTGATGTCTAGTCCTGGAAGTTTTATGCTCTGGAATTGAAAATTTAGGTTGATTAGCTGATAAAAAAAAGGGGGTTATGGAAACTGCTTATTCTGTTGTGAAAAGTACCGTGGAAGTACAATTGGGATTTTGCGGGCGAAATATTATTGCTATGTCATGCTGGCTGGTTTTCAAGAAATAGATCAGACCCTTTTTTGCAAGTGTATGGAATACGCCAAAGCTGGTTGGTTTTAAAGAAATTCCATGTGGTTTCATAGATATGGTGACTAAGGTTATTTCCATTATGAACTTATAATGGCAAGCCGCTGAAGATGGGGCTCGGATCAAATATAAGGAATATTGATATGAATAGATACCTGGCGTTCCGAGGATGCAAAACACTTATATTACGAGCATCTAGCCCTGGAATGTTCCTAAAAATATGGAATGGCATGTATTCAGCTTCCATTATAATGTATACTGCCATATCTTAGAATTGGTGCATGCCAACTTAGTTCCATTTCAATTAAAACTTGGACATCTGTTTTCTGTTCCAATCTAAACTTATTTGCTTCCACTTTTCTCTTCCCTAAGCTCCCATATGTGCGATGTCCATAAATTTGTCTGTTTAATCTCTCTAGATAGAAAATCGTGAAAGGTATAACTATTTTATTTTTACATTTCACTTGTGCAGTTCAAGAGATACAATTGTGCTCACCTTGAGATTATTTATCATACGGGTATTACTCCTCTTCTGTGCACTTCTCTTTAATTTCTATCAGTAGTAGAATGTCTTATGTCCTGTTTCCATTGCATACTCTGTTCGTCAACATGCCGTGTATTCATTTGCCTAAGTTTCTTTACACCATATGTTATTACGGACCGGGTTGACCATCATTCTGGACTCTGCTTAGCCTAATTTCTAGCATTTATGTCGAATTTGACGGAACAAATTGTGTTTTGATAGGGTTTTATTGGGTTTGTAATACTTGCATCATGTGTTTGCAAGTGAGTTATTTTTTTTGTATGTGGTTAGCTTGCGCAGGCTGGTGAGAGAAAGAAGGGGAAAAAGAGAGGTTTATTCTTTCACAAGGTACACAGTTAACTCACTGTGCAGCTCAGTATTGGGATTGTGTAGTATTTATTATTTGAAGACGGGCTATCTTGGCAATGGCATAACTTGTTGAGTAGCTCTAGCTAGCTTGTGTCCGAATATTTTGTTTACAGGCGGTCAACATTGTTGAGTTTTTGTAATCAGCTAACTGTGTCGATATTTTTGCCCCCAATGCTGCAATATATCTCTGCCCTTATTTTTCTTTGCCATTATTTATAATTTAATATTTTATTATTATTTTAAATAGGTTTAAAGACGTAAGAAACTCTCGAGCTAAAAAAAAAAAGTCCCTAGACTATTTTTGTACGCAAGTGAGTTCTATTATTAAATTTTATCAATTCATATCTTTGACCATAGTCGATTGTTAAATTTAATGTATTTTTGAATTGATTGGTGTCATCATGGTGTTTACATGTGATATTTTTAAAATTTTATTATTTTTGAAGATTATTTTAGAATTTGAATATTTTTTTGGATTTAAAAATAATTGTAAGATTTCCACCCTAAAAACCCCTATATGAGGGCAAAAAATGGTGAGATGAAACTTCGATAAAAAAAAAATGGTTGATACGGGACAATGAGAAAAATTATTTCTTGGAGAAGGGTGAAATGAATAGTGAAGGGGGAAGTCGGTCAGAGCATCCGACGTCTTTGCTAAGTCGGCCAAAACACCCGATGCTTTCAAACTCTTCATTTTTGGAAACGCTTGGCATCTTCATGACTTCATCTTCGGTGTCTTCGAGAGGCCTATCATAGTGCTCCGGCAAAGAATAACTTGAAGACGCCTATTATAGCATCTACACTAGATCAGAAAATATTCTCCCAACACTTTTCATGGAAGATTTTTTTTTCACCACCTTATCCCACTCTCTTTTTGCCCCTATATAAGCTCAATCTCACCAAGCACCTTTTGTAAGGCACTCATCTCCCATTTCTCCATTTAGATTTTCATGCTCCAATGTATTCTCTGTGTTGTCTTATTTAAAGCACTAGCAATACTTGCACATGTTTTACCGGCTCTTTCAACTTCGAGACGAGTATTTGTGTATCGGAATGAGTATGAACAAAGATTTAGGGTTGGACTCAAACGCATCAACTCGGGCAAGAATTTAACCAAGTAGGAGTGAAACCGACTGGGGATAACGTCCGGTGCAACACAGGCTATAGAGGTTGAATGCAATGGCTGCAGCGGCCTACTCGGGTGGGTTTAAGGCACCTGTTGCGGGAAATGGCGAGTCTCTGATGTACTTTTCCAAAGGGATGCCACCATAGAGTTGCTATGCAATCATGGACACCCATAACGATTTAATTTGGATTAAATGCAAGTCTTGCTCTCAGTGTTATCAACACAATCTACCCCGATCTTTAATTTCCATGATACCCAAAAAAGTACACTTTTGATGGGTCTAGTACAGGAGTGAATCGCACATTTGGTGCAGTCAAGACCACCCCACTGATACATAATCCATTGCAGCCATCATTTTACTACCTGTCACTCAATGGTATATCAGTGGGAAAAACTCGCTTGCCTAACAAGAACAAAATTTTGCACTCCGAAACGATAGTACCGGCAGCTTAAATATTGATTCTGGCACAAGCATTACGTATATAGAAAAAAAGGATTCATCAAGCAAATGAAACTTCGCCTGACACTTCGGGTGTGGCAGGGCTCAGCCTTTGCTTCTCCTGGCCATCAGGTACTACGGAATTAAAAGTTCCGAAATTGGTATTCCATTTAGAAGGTATAGATTTAAATTTACCAGCGGAACTACATGATCCCGGGTTGGAGTATGTGATGGTTAACAAATAAAGTTGGAACAAGGTAACTAACACATACCCGTGTCAGGCACATACCCGTAACTGACACACCATTATTCAAGTAACATAAGTTTTGTTTACAAAGTATCCTACTATGCTTCATGGGACTTTAGTCATTGAAAGAAATCAGAGTATGCATGTCAAAATGGTATACAAAATGTTTTACAATTTCATATAATAGTTTATACTCAGTCGCATGGACATTTCTAAGGAACAAAAATGAATTCTATATAATGTATGAAATTAGTTCAAGTATCAAACCTGTTACCGACTGCCCAGCCATTTCTCAGGTCAACCTTCTTCTCATCCAAACAAAAAACCCCCTTCAGCTTAATCGGTGATTAAAAGATGATTTACTCTGGAAAATCCAATGTTTCCCTCCCTAATTATAAATCAGCACAACCTCATGGTTTTGTACGCTTTAAGTACACAAGCACTCCGATGCTGGTTAAGATAATGGCACCCGCCAATAGACCTGCGTTAAAAGACACCCCTCCAGTTCCCTGGGTGGCTACAGTTGATTCTGATGTTATCAGCTGAGCGGAATCAGAAAAATCCAGATACAATCGTAAAACCTGTGAGATAGGTAGACTGTTAAATTTAGAATAAGGAAACCACAGAAGCAGCAAAATAGTATGGTCCAATAAGAGAGAACCAAGTCCAATACAAAAAATGAGTTACCTTTAGCCCCCGCGATCTCGTATGGTTAACGGCAGCAATAAGATCACCATCAGTGGTGAGTAAAACCTTATCACCTTCATCATCTTCATACTATACATATGCATATAAAAGAATAAGCACAGACAAGAAAATTTGAGAATAAAACAGAAAGTAAAGTACAAAATAAACAAATAAACCCATCGACTCACCAAAAGCTGAGGATGACTATGATCATTACTGGAACGAATTCTTTGCGTTATAGTTGATAAAAGCTCGTCTAAATTCTCATAACCTGAAGAAAAGAATAAATATGTGAGTTTTCCATGCATGCAACATTATGGTATAAAAAAGATAGTAACAAAGCCTGCACATCATATTTCGCTGCAGATTACCTCTTTTAATAATAAAGTCTGGGTGTGCATTAGGAAAACAGTGTATTGATGCTTGTGGGTATAAAATGATATGTATCTCTAATATTCAGCTCAAATTCTTTACCACGTATATACATACCAAAACTGAACCGATGTACACGACCCTTAGGATCCTCAAATTTGAAACAAAACGAGTTTCCAAGGCCTAGGGAAGGATAGGATAATAGCTTTCCGGCATCTGCCCCCTCTGATGTCATGATTGCCGATATTTCACTGAAAAATATTCTGCAGGGTTGGTTCATGTGTATAGCATGTTGGATAAGTGAGGCAGAATTAGTTACCTCTGTGTGTCATAATCATCTGGTGGCTGCAAAGAAAGGGCGGAATCCCAGAATTTTTGCATCAATGTGTTTGCCATGCCATTAACAGCTCCAGGGCTACTTTCAACCTTCAAAAGATCAAAATTTCAGGAAATTTTTTTTTTTTTAACTTGGGCCAAAGGAGTAACAATACATAGAAAGCTAAACAGATAATGAAAAATATTAACCAAGTTCAAATAAGAAAAATACTACCAAATATATGTTAAAACCTTACAATAGGGAATTTTTCCTTTTAACTTTTTACTTGTTACTAGTAAATTATATCCAGTAGGAAAATCCGTAGACATGCCAAGTACAATTGAATGACTCAAGACCATATCCAACAACAGGAGAAGAGATTAACCTATATGCTGCCATATGTACAAGTATCGCAACAACTCAAGAAGTATTGGTCTATACATATCCACAGATATAAGTATGAGATTTGAGGAGGTGCTGAAAATGTTCAGGCAAAACATTTGAAGGTTGGTACTTGGAATTAGAAACAAGGTAAGAATAAAGTAATTTTCTTAATGACCTTCAACATTTGCAACTTCCAAAAATAAGGATTTCAACAAATTTTATGTTGATGGAAATACTACTTTCCAACTTGGTTTTTTATTGTTATAATGAATTTTAATTCACCTTGTTATCTAAAAAGTCCATCACAGAACATATGATGACCCGAAGATTACAACTATTGACAAAAGTATTTCCAACTCTAGATACTTGAAGTGAATAGAATTGAGCTGAGAAAAGTGCTAACTTGCTCAATCTCAAATTGTGAGAATTTTTATGGAGCTCAAGCATTGAGTCACCATGCTTTTCAAGCTTGAATACATCTGTTCAAGCAAACTTGAAAGTTGGCTTGACTCAAAATTATACCATCATATGCTCTTTCTCTCACACAGTGTAAAGGTAATTCCTGGATTATACCGAGACATCCTTTATTAAGGACCTGATTTGCTGTTTCTTTTGCTACTTACTTTTTCGAAGTATAAAAAAGAAAATGCTTTTGAAAATCATAATTATATATTTTGGAGAAAAAAATTCATGCTTGTTCTAATATATAACATAGTTATGTTAGGGTTTAGTTTTAGATTTTAGTTATTGGTTCATTTTCTGATAAACTATTTTATTTTGCTTTTCAGAAACATTTTGCAAGCCAAAAAGCAGATAGGAAAAAGAAAGTAGGAAGCAACAACAAAATGGACCCCGAAAGCATAATCCTCCTATTACGCTTAATAGCCATTGCCTAAATCCAATGCATAAACATGAAATACCTAACAATTTTGGTAGACATAAATATATAAAATAATACCATAAATTGCTGCATGAGTGATATGCAGAACATCTAGACAAGCAGCAACAGTTCCATCTGCACAACAGCCATTTTGATGGATAAAACATCAAAGAATTGTAATTATAAAAATGTATGGAAGAACCAAAACTCACCTTTCTCTAGAACAGGAAGATGTAAAAACTTCCCATCATGCATTGTATGAAGTGCATCAAGGATTGATGTTTCCACCCTCGCACATTCAGGGTTTGGTGTCATAACCTGAGGAATAAAAGAAAAGATAGTGTGATTACGTCAAGTGTCAAAGAAAAACATAAAAAAGAAAGAATCAAAGCTTAGAACCAGAAAACCATTACAGGAAACTTGCTGGTTGGAAGGCTTCTACTCTTTCATTAGCAGGGAGATTGGTATTGGTTAAGTCGGTCTTATGCTCGCTTCCTAATTATTTCTTATCGATGTTTAAGATTCCAGCCTCGGTTTACAAAATCCTCAATTTGATCATGTCTAAGTTCTTATGGGGAGGGGCAATGGAAAAACAAGATACATTGGGTTAATTGGTCTACTGTATGTAAACCAAAGAATGAGGGAGGTCTGGGAGTACTGGATCTAAATTTGATGAACAGAGCTTATTAGGGAAATGGTCATGGAGGTTTGCTAACAACGGAATTCTGTTTGGAGGAGAATGTTTAGCAGCAATACAATATTGATTCAGCCATTATTGTTCGATAGTAAGGTTCCAGCTCAAGCTTCTTGGATTTGGAGATTAGTGGTGAATAATCATTTCGAAGATGACCCTTTCGGTTCTAAGTTTCGAAGTTATGTACCTTTCAAGCCGGTGATGGAAAGTTTATCGGTTCTAGCAAGATATTTGGGCTATGGATTATCCGCTCTTGGTCATTTTTCCTAGACTGTTTTCTATACTTCAAACAAGATTGGCAAATTATGTGAGTTTGGGGAACATCGATCTATGGGCTGGTTTGGAATGTTCAATTCAGAAGAAATTTAAATGATTGGGAATTGAACAATGGTCAAATTCCAATCATTTCCAATTTTTCACTTTCCAAAGATTCCAATGATGGTTTGATATGGAAAGGCAGTGGGGATGGTGAGTATTCTGTTAGCTCTTGTGTCAAGTTGTGTTCTTCAGGTTCGGAGGAGGTCAATTTCTGGAAAAATATAATTTGGAGGGGTATGCTTCCTCCAAAAGTGGAATCCTTTATGTGGCAAGTTATTCTTCAGAAGTTGGCATGTAAGACTGAACTGGTTAAAAGAGGGGTTCAGGGTATTGATGATGTTTTATGTCCTCTTTGCAAGTTGGTGGAGGAGTTTCCTCACACTTATTTTTCCTGTTTTTGTTGCGTGGTCTTATGGAATAAATTCTTTAAGTTGTGGAGGCTCAATTATGTTTTTCTTACTAATGCCAAGATTTTCCTCCAATCCTGGGAAGATTTGAAGAACAATTCTACGATATGGTCATTTGTTCCAGGGGTTGTTCTATGAACCATTTGGAAAGTTAGGAATTCGATTGTGTTCGAAGGTGGGAAGTTAGACCAGACTGAATTATTTTTCTTAGCAAGGTTTAGGCTTGCTTCCGGTTTAGCCAAGTATAAGGAGATCTCTATCCCTAAAGATTCTCTTATCTTTGATCCTTCTCTAGGGGATTCTTGTTCCTCCTCAAATAAAGCGGTCGTAACTAAAATCCCTTGGTCTCCTCCTCCTAAGGGTTTCATTAAATTGAATGTTGATGTTGCTTCTAGTTCCGACTGGAAGAGAAGTGGATTAGGTGGAGTTTTAAGAGATTATACTGGTTTGATTGTAGGTTCTTTCAAGGAGTCTTCAGGTCCGATTGATAATAGAGAGTGATAGCAGAGTGGCAGTGGACTGGATTAAGATGGCTGTCCCTTTTTCCCATATGTATGGGGTAAGGGGGAGGTAAGATAGTAGGCTACCCCCAACACCAAGTTGAGAGCAGCTTCCGTAAGAGACCTCCGATTATGAAATGCCCTCCGTGGGACTGGATTAAGACGTGAATTATGCTCAGAAGTGTATGCTTTTATTGTTAAAGACATAATTGATAGGCTTAAAGTTTTTCAAGGAATTGTTAGATGGGTTGCTAGGACGGCTAACTTAGAGGCTGACGCCTTAGCTAAGGCAGGAATAGGTTGAGTTCAGTGTTGTTGTTACGGTTGTTTATGGTTTTATGTTTCTGTAAGGGGTTTTTCTTTGTTGTATTTCTTGTAACTTTCTTGTGATGATAAGGCATCTTTTCCTCCTTCGCTGATTAAGGAGCTTCCTTCGAGCTCCATTAATCAAGAAGGGGTTTTTAACGAGGCCTGCAATTCTTATAAATAAAAAAAGAAACCATTACACTAAAAAATTGCAATGTGACTTGGAACCATATAATGTCAAGAACATGATATAAAATTGCTCATTCCATTTCAAGATCAGATACCAATAGTAATTAAGTGAAGCTTCAATATATGCAAATGATCCTTTAGAAATAATTAAGACTTATAGGAATCAAAACATGTTCATGTTACAATTTTATTTAATCATCGTTGTATTTATAAAAATTATGCACCATACACCACTGTCACTGTCCCAAGTAAAGCTATCCGTGTAAATAGAATTGCTGATCAAAACTCAAACACGGCCTGAAAATGGTAATGAAAAGACATGAATTGAATTTTCAAGAGCCACAAATACAATTTACATGCAAAGATAACATAAATATACTTTCCAGGCAGTACCAAGACATGTTCCTTAGATTAAAAATCTATTTACAAAATTGTCAAGCTTATCAGTTACAATCATATAAATGCTCATCATATTGCTAAAGTATTTAAGCATAAATAGACTGAAACTCAGTTTAAAATATTCCTACATAATAGTGGAGGGTTAATAGCAAAGGCTATAAGGTACATCAAATCAAATGTAGAATGAACCTTTTCCAACAGAGTTAGCTCAGGGGAGAAATTTTGTGCTACACTCGCATAAGGATGTCCCTTGAACTGCAGTGCACAGATGAAAGCTAGTAAGCACAAAATATTGAAAGAGGTCTTCAAATCCGCACCAAAATACATGTGATGGTGCAAAGAATCTCAAAAGCTAATATTAATCAATTCATGAGTAAAATCAAAGGTTACGTTAGTATCCCCTGAATTTTGTTCCCTGTCACTATAACAACTGAACTAAACTCGCAGATCTCGCATCTTTTTTGCAGCAACACAGACAGGATCCGATGATGAAACAATTGCAACCCTGGAAAATGAGAAGATACTAGGATGATAAAGCAAATAACAAAAAAAGCAATACCATTTAGCAAATTGTATTTGTAAACAAAAGGCCTCTCGATGGATGAGATAGAAGAAAATACTTTGAATTTTCAGAAATAGTTGACAATGACGGCTTTGAACATCTGCTCCTCAAAGTTTCTATGAAGGCATATGGTGCTGAAAAGCATGACAAAAAAACAAAATCTAATCAAGAAATCACAAGTTCCAATCTGTATGGTTAACAATTAATATATACCCTTGATCATCCATCAGGAAAAAGATATGTACTAATTGACATAAATGTGTGGAGACCACTTTGGCATAAATGTTTGCAAGGAAACTTGAAAGTTAAGCCATTCCATCCAAAGGCATTTGGAAACAATATGAAGAGTGTCAGTAAGTATCTATATTGGTGAATACTGTTGTAGCAACAGAGGCAACAAGAGTTTATCAAATATGCATGCAGTGGCATTGAATCATTAGAATGGTATGATAATTAGTACAGAAGAAAACAAATTAACCATTGTTTCCCCACTGGCGTTCAACTCCTTCCACTGCGCAGCAATTGCACTTCCTTGCTCAGCAGCCTTCTCCATTCTAGAGATAGCATCAAAAAGGCATTTTGCTATATCAACATGGCAATCACTTCACCATTTTCCACAACAGGGAGATGCCTGAATTTTCCTGACAAAAGAACCAGCACCAGATTTAGTACATGTAGAATAGCATTTAAAGTTTAAAAACATATCGCTATTGTGATCAAATCTTATTTCATCTCTCGCATATATCAAGTTAATGCTTTTCAGTTTTAATACGGCTTAGAAGAATTGTATAATAGCTTTGATAAAGGCAAAATTCAGAAATGAAATTGTATTATTTGAAACCACCAGACACACTTACAATTAAGGACTATAAACCATAAAACATACTTATAATTAAGGTTATTACAAAGTAGTAAATAAATTTTATGGTTATATATAATTCATGTCAAACCAGTCATAACAAGACGTGCATCAGAATCTACATCAACACCAAATACTGGCTTTGTCACGTATCTTCCTCACAGATAATTAGCTACAATGAGTCTCGTGAACTAAAAGAAAGCAATTATTTTCTCCCATCACTCCATCCACATATGCATCCAATTATTTCTTTAAGAAAAAGGCAGTTTTATACGGGTTGTGTGCTGAAATAACATAATCAAGTACCTGAACCATCTTCTGAAGTGCATCGATGGCCAAAGAGTCTGAATTAACAAAATTGGACTACATGTCATGATCTTAGATACTACTGTTTGCTCCGGCCTCAGCCCTCTGCTATTACTCTAGTAGCAATGTCTGTCATTACAATATATAAATTTACAGTTTACACTACACTGTAACAACATGGAAGCAATAAAAGTGTACACAGATGCTAAACAAAATTAAGTTAAAAACCTTGTCAGTAACGATCCCAGAGCAGCCATTGGCATCGGGAGCAACACGGCATCCATACGACGAGCTGCCATTCGCCTACAAGCCTCGGACACAGTGGTTCCTTCAGGGATGGTGAGGGCTTTGGACAACCTCAGTTTCTTCACCGTCCTCTCACCATTAACGAACTGACAAAAAAAAGGAACTTGAAACTTTAGTAAAACATCATCTAGTAACACAAAAAAGAATCAAAAGAAATAGTCAGAGTAGGGAGCCAACGAAGGAGAAATGGGCTTGGCATTTTCGGAGGTGTGAGACTTGTGGGGGCAGAAAGACCTCTTCTATGAGAATTCCGGCGGGATGGCGGCGGGAGAGGCACCGATTGGTTGGTCATTTTCTCGATTAATTTTGCTCAATTCTCGATCGATCGAAAAAGCTTTTGAAGAAGATGAAAGGTTATTAGGGTTTGGTAACTTGAGTGGCCTTCCCTCGTTGACCACTCCCTTTCTCTTCCTTGGTGATTTGTTTCAGCCTTTCAGAGCTTCAGCCTCACTGTTGCTCGTTTTTCTTTCTTTTCTCTCTTGATTTTCATTAAGTATTGTTTTTAATATTAATTTCTTAATTTAAAATATATTTTTACCTTCAAAATATATTTCAATATATTTTAAATATCTTTATTTTGTAAATAAATAAACTTTTTAATTCACTTACTTGCAAAGTTAATTCGTATAGATTTTAATGTTGATACCTATTTTACTTGAAATTTAAATTACACCTTTTTGTGTTTAGAATTTAGAATGAAGATATTATTATTATAATTTACAGATTAGAATTAGAATTTTAATTATTTAATATATTAAATGATATTCAGATATATATTTATAAAATCATTTTTAATATTCGTACATAAAATAATAATTTATTTTGCATTAGAAAGTTGTCGTCTATTAAAGTTTTCTATACAAATTATGTGTGGAATAATACCTAGATGAGGCCTTCTAATGTAGAATAAATTTGATAATTTTTTTATAAAAATATATATTATATTTTCAATTTTCAATAACTAAATTGATTATTTTTTTATGTTTTTAATTATTAAAATTCTTACGGTAAACGAATTTGACAAATACTTCTACCAAATTTTAAACCAAAATCAATGACTTAAAATTTAAGAATACTCAAATTGAGCACATATTACTCAAATGGAAAGTAGGGGTGTGCAAAATTACCCGACCCGGTTGACCCGACCCGTCGACCCGCCGATCCGGATCTAAAAAAATCGAGTAATTCTTTAAAAAAATTACCTGGTCGGGTCGAGTACCCGGCCCAACATTTCCCGGGTCGGGCCCGGGTTAGTTTTACTCGGTTTTTTATTTATTTTATATAAAATATAATGAATTATTTATATTATGGATTATTATATTTTGTATTTTGAACTTTTAAATTTTATGTTCGGATATTAGAGTATGTAATTCGAAGTTTTGAACATTTAAATTTGTGTATATATTTTTTTAAATTAATAATTTGAAAATAAAAAATTAAAAACCGAGTATCGGGTACCCGCAAAATCTGGGTATCCGATTACCGGGTACCCGTAACATCCGGGTCGGGACACGGGCCGAGAAATCCTCGACCCGAAAGTTCCGGTACCCAAAAAATCCGGGTACCTGAATTTGCACACCCCTAATGGAAAGGATATAAAGTATAGATTTTATTCTACACGTGGAAGGATTTGGTTGGACAAATCATTTTTTTGGTGCACCACAAAGTTCATGTTTCTAAACTAAATTAATGGTCAACTTCTCCGAGCTAAAAGACTTATTTTTTTAATTTTGAAACTAAATATATAATTTTAAAAAAATAATTTATTTTGATTTAAAAATAAGTAATTAGAGATAATTAATTATGATGCTAATGCTTTTTCGTTAATTTTAAATAATTTAATTGGCATAATATAAATTTCAGCTTCAAACGTTTACATATTATACCAATTTGACCGAGATATAAAAAAAACTAATAAATTAACTCTCAATATCGGCAAAACATGATAATTATTATTTGAGCTTTTTAGAATTTCAAATTGACATAATTTATATGCATTAAAGACTAAATTTATAATCATACGAATCAAAATAGAGAAAATCGCTTCAGTGACCAAAAATGCCTTATAATATACGATTTTAATCAACTTTTTTTGGATTTGCCAAAATGACCAACAAAATCGCAACGCGAAATAAAAATCGCAACGCGATCCCCAGAATCGCAAATCAGTTTCCAAAATCGCAACGCGATTCTTGAAAATCGCAATGCGATAGTACAAATTCGCATTGCGATTTTCCAGAATCGCAACGCGAATATGAAAATCGCAACGCGAACACATAAATCGCAACGCGTATCCGTAAATCGCAACGTGTATCCGTAAATCGCAACGCGTATCCGTAAATCGCAATGCGTATCCGTATATCGCAATGCGTATCCGTAAATCGCAACGATAATCCGTAAATCGCAACGAGAATCTGTAAATCGCAACGATAATCCGTAAATCGCAACGAGAATCTGTAAATCACAACACTGAAATTTTGGGTATATAACTACGAAACAGCAGCAAATCATAAACTAAATCCCTAAATCGCAACTCATTCCATCTCCATCTATCACTCTCTCCGGCGACATCCGTTCCTATATCCAACGACATCCTTCCCAATCCGGCAACAGGTTTTAGTTTCGCAGCTCGTCTGTTTAGTAAATTAATTTACAACCATGAAATCATCTAATGTTGATCATGTTTGGATAGATTTGTGTTTTGGAGGGTCATGGGATAATGTTCATGGTGTTTTACAATATATGCCTTTTACCATGAATCTTCAACTAAAATTGTCTTTACAAAAGTTAACTTATGAAACTCTAATGCTACGTGTTCAAATAAATTGAATTTAGAGCCCCTAAGTGGATTTAGGCTATCTTATCAGAGAAATGGTAAAGTTTATTTGTTAACCGACAATGAAGATGTTGAACGATTCATTGCTTACATTAGTGTTTCACAAGATGATGTTACATTGTATGTTGTTGAAACCTAGAAGTAGTATTGTTGGGTCAGTAGCGGGTAGTAATCAACTAAGTTTTTCTCAAAACCCACAACCTTTCTCTAATCCAAATCCCAATCAACTTTCAGCACCAAATTCCGGTTTTCGTATTGACCAGTTAGACGATGATGAGCCAACAGAAAAAATTGTGAGTACTAGTCAGTATTCGAAATTTGGTCGTGGTCAATATCCGGACTTTGATATTGGTCAATACACGGATTTTGATGATGTTTCAGAAGAAGAAACAGACCCTGCGTGTAATGATTTTGATATTGGTCAATACCCGAATTTTGATGATGAAACAGCCGTTGCCGAAGAATGTATTGTTGATGATAATGAGGAGGAAGTTACGACTGTGAATGAACATGTTGAACATCCATTCTGTAATTCATATAATCCTGAAGAAGAAAAAGAAGAAGAAAAAGTCCCCGAAGAAAAGAAAATGCCACGGGCGTATAACTGGAATATGCCAGAATTACTTCAGATACCGGAAGAAGAGTTGGTAAAGAAAGCAGTTGATTGTTACACAAAAGTTATTCGTGTAGTTGTATGAAATGGCAAACATCTGGTTATCCGTGTGGCCATGTTATAAAAGTTGCTCTTCATTTAAACCAAGATGATTCAAGCGCATACGCTATGGATTGCTACACTACAGAAGTTTATCGACAGACTTATGCCGAGATTGTCTACCCTATTCCACATCCTTCTGAGTGGGACATACCAGATGACTTACAAACAGTTTTGCCACCAGCCATGGACAGAAGGCTACCTGGCCGACCAAAAAGTCACGATCGTATACCGTCTAAGGGTGAAGAGAAGAAGAGATCGACATGTAGTCGGTGCAAGGAAAGTGGTCATACAAGGTTGACATGTGGATCACCAGTGCCATCAAAATCATCTTTTCCTCTACCAAAATATGGATCCTCATCAAAATCCAAAGCTCATATGGTGTCAAGCAAAAGGCAATCATCTTTAAAATCCCAATCACAATTGGCTTCACCTTTTGGGACTGTTAACTTAGGTGATTTTTAAATGGAAACGTTGTATTATGTGGATTTTATGTTATCACTTATTAGGCATGCATTTGACTAGCGCAACACGGAAATTACAATCGCAACAAGAGAATCGCAATGCGAAATGAAATCCCAACATGAAAATCGCAATGC